AAAGAGACACCAAGGATACCAGATCTCCAAACAAGCGAGACACTCAAACAGCAGCAGGATAATGCAAAACACATAATTTACATTATTCGATCCCAATCTCCCACAGACATCTAATTGTGACAGGAGCAGGAAATGCAGCGGTGAGGAGGGAAATTTAATCACAGAATCACAGAATGGTAGGGGTTGGAAGGGACCTCTGTGGGTCATCTAGTCCAACCCCCCTGCCGAAGCAGGGTCACCTACAGCAGGCTGCACAGGACCTTGTCCAGGCGGGTCTTGAATATCCCCAGAGAAGAAGACTCCACAGCCTCCCTGGGCAGCCTGTTCCAGTGCTCCGTCACCCTCAGAGGGAAGAAATTCTTCCTCATGTTCAGACGGAACTTCCTGTGCTTCAGTTTGTGCCCATTGCCCCTTGTCCTGTCGCCGGGCACTACTGAAAAGAGCTTGGCCCCAATATTTGGTTGTGACACCTCTCTCTGTCACCTGGCATGGAGCTACTGGGATTTCCTTTCCTAAATTCAAATTTATCCTTCACGAGGTACGAAATGGAAGCAGCTGACAGGTACGCCACTTCCACTCTTGGGTGTATGGGGACACGGTATGGGAACATTTGCCTCCCTACAAACACCTTTGCAGGTCTGGCATTCCAGCACACAGTGCCAGGGGCTGAAAAACAAAAAAAAGTGAGGAAAGCCAAAATTATTTTCTTAGTCCTACATAACCAAATGTTACAATAGCCAGATAGGAAGTACATAAACAATCGAAATACGCAAAAGACAACAAAACCAAGAAAGACTGTCTGCATTTCTCTGGGCTGTCTGCATCTATGGTCCCAGGAAAAGGCATTAATCCAGCGGGACAAACAACTACTGCGACAGGATCTGTTTCAAGTTCTCTGCAAGCTGGGGAGAACGCCGCTTTCTTTTTAAGCAAGCAGTGAGGCGGCCACTGCTAGCGACCCAGCAGCAGTCCCACGCCGTTCGGTGAAGCAATACGCAGTTTTGCTGCGATGTTGTCGAGCCTCACTAAGCGAGAACCAGCTACAGGGGAAGTAATTGGCTGGAAACAGTGTTGCCGAGTAGGCAGGGGGGTGTAAGCGGCGAGAGAAACAAAGTTTCTGCTCTGTGAGTGGAGCATCTCCCGCACCGAGTCCCGGCAGGGGGAAACTCCGCCGCCACCGGGCTCCTTACTCCGCGGAGTAAGTCTGACTGTTCCCACGCACACGTGGTTTGAACACTGCCGTTACCACCTCAGGAAAGGGGGGTTGGTGGGGCGGAGGGGAAATATGTCTGAAATATGTATCTGTTGGCGCTCGGTGCCTCGCCACGTTAGC